AGAACCGAGCCAAGGGCCCTTCTGTGAGGCACAGCCTGTCACTCCGTGTCTTACACTCCTGTTTTGTACGTGCAGCACTGCAGCCACGAGAAGCTATTAAAGAAGGCAGCACGTGGGGCTGCATGGAGGAACGGCTGCTCCTGAGGTGAACTTGGGCGATATTTTGGGCTGCAGAGTTAAGAATCTAACCACATCACCACACTGCCCCAGCGCCATCTCACAATGTTTCTGAGCGACCAAGTCCCACACGCAAGGATTCTTTACATCCCTGGTTCTAACGGTTGTAGCAAACTCAGATCTAGGGAAAATTCAACATGGATATTTTCTTAAAATATAATCTATTAGATCTTAGTTGACAGTATGCATCTTTCTGAATCTTTTAAAAAATGTTCTTGAGACTAACCATAGTTAGTTCTTTTTTTTTTTGGTACTGGGGATTGAACTCAGGTCCTTGCGCTTGCAAGGCAGGCCACCAAAACGCTGAGCTAAATCCCCGGCCCAAAAAATTCTCTATGGTGCCTGGTTTTTGGTTGTTGTTGTTGTTCCGGGAATCAAACTCAGGCCCTTGCACTTTCAAGGTTTCAAGACAGGCGGCGGAACCGCTGAGCTAAATCTCCAGCCATAGTTAGTTCTTGAAACTATGGAAAAACAAATGCTTCACTGTATGACATCACTGTGAATGGGAAAATGTCTAGCTAAACACTAACAAGAAAAACACATTAAGAGATAGGAGATTCCATACACAAGACACAAACTCCAAAGTCCATTCTCATTTTACTTCTGAAGTTCTGCTGGGCAGACTGGCACACAGCAACCCCTGCCATGTGCTGTGTCAGTCTGCCCCGGAGCACCCAGGGGACAGAGCCAGCTCTGAGGGATGCCCGTGACCTCGCATTGTGCAGAGCTGCCGCAGGAACCACAGCCAACTCCTGTCAGTCCCCTGCTGCCCTCTGCGGGGGCATCCCCACTTCGCTGCACAGGGGGCCTGGGCCAGAGAGGAAGCAGAGGCATCTGAACGGTGCAGGAGCCAAGAGCCAGCAGCAGCCCCACTGGACCTCCCGCCCTTCCTCACAGGAGGCGGGCACACCTGCTCCATTCTACCCAGGCTAAATGCAAGGGCCTCCCCAGAGGGCTGTCATGGAAACAATGATTTTTATGTACTTGCTTGTTTGTTTTGTATTTTTTTAGTGTACAATTCCATGCCACTAAACACATTCACACTGTTGTGCAATCTTGCAACTGATTTCTTTTCTGCAAGTTTGTATATGCACAGTACATACAAAGATCTTCAAAAACAGCAACTGTCATTCTCAGGGGCCTGTAAACCAGAGCTTCCTGCTGCCTGTGTTGGGGAATAAAGCTTTACTGGAATACAGCCCACCTAGTCCTTTATGGATTTATCTACGGCTTCTCTTCAACCATCACGCAGAGCTGAGAAATCACAACAGAGATCATGGTACACAAAGATGAACACATTTTCTACCCTACTGTGCACACAGAAAAGCTTTCCTGAACATCTTAAACAGAAAATTTTATTTTAAAGCAAATAAGGTTTCATTTCCAAAAAGTTTGAAAATTTCATTTTCAAAAAATCCAGTTGTTTATTAAGCCATATTTCACAACACAGGTCATCAGCATAACAGAAGAATTCAATCACAGCAGCCATTTTAATAACCAAAGAAATTCATTATGCAAGTGTTCTGCTAGGTAAATCCACTACCATGAACACAAACGTCCCCTGAATTATTTCAAATTTCATTTGTACGTGAACAATCCTCTCAGGGTGACCTTTCCGCACTTTGGGGCATCAGTATTCCATCACCCGACGGGGACAGAGCAAGCGGGGCAATGGAGCAGCACAGTCCTCTCAGCCAACCACACGACACGCGGGGCTCACTGTGAGCCCAGACCCGCGCTCCCGCGTCCTCCTTCCCTCACCAGGCCAATGCAGGGCGGTGCAGCTACCCCACCAGGCACACCGGGGCCCTCGTCAGTCCCAGGTGCCGGGCCTGTGATTTTTAGCAGGACATGGGCTCCAGAGCGAGGTCACTCCAGGCTCCCAGTGCTGGCCTCCTCCACCTGGGGCCCTGCTGTGCCTCCCAGCCCACGGTTGTGCCGTTCCTTTCTGGGGCCTTCTCCCCACACTCTTATCGCCACTGCTCCCGCCTTCTCCCCGGGGCTGCTCTAGTGCTGACAGAACTGAGAGCTGCTTTACGCCAACTTACTCCTCCTTCCGGCACGTAGAAGAGCCATGTGCTAGAGAAACAGAGCAAAGACAGGGCCCTTCCGCTGAGGACCTCAGTTTAACCCTCAGGAAAGAACAGCTGCGAGCAAAGCAAAGAGGCAAAGGCCCAGGGAAAGGTTACAGTGAACGCACAGCGCTGGCCCCGGGAGCCCAGGGGAGACATGGACAGAAGGCCAAAGACCCACTTTCAGCAGAGCAGCGGGGATCTAGAGCCCCACACCTGCCTAAGGGCCAGATGGACTCATGCACCCCAACCTCCTGGGGCCCACAGACACTGGGGTCCCTCCATCCCATCACCTCCTGTGCTTCTCCCGGTGCGCCAGGCACAGAGTGACAGGGACATTCCCCTCAGACCCTGTGTAGCCCGTGTCAGACTCGGCCGCTACTGTTTTCTCCCAAACTTTATGAAAATGTATAGAAAACTTCTGTTCCCAGACTTTCCACCTCTATAAGGAAGCAATAAAATAAGAGTCAAGTACTAAAAATGTCATACAGCCATCTTAGCCATCAGAAATCCAGCCTGGGGAATAGAGAGTAGGTTGTTTGATTTTAAGCAAAATGAGAAGTACAGCCCTGCAGCCTGCCTTGCCCTGGGTGTCCTGCTCTGTCACAGAGAGACTGAACCGTAGAACTGGATGGTCCAGCCTCCAGCTCCTGGTGGCCCTGGGCAAAGGGAGGCGAATCCCTGCACATCTGTGGGGCTGTTTCTCCCTGATTAGGGGTGACCGGTCTCCCTGAGCATCCCCTCTCATGGGCAGCCCAGAGAAAGAGACCCCCATGGACCAGTGTCTGGGCACTAGGACCTCATCACCTACTGACGCCCTCTGCCCTAATCCCTACCCACGACCTTGCAAACCCCTCTCGGTGAAGTCTGTGCTCGAGACCCCCTTGAGTTTAGTCCATGTCCTGTAAGAACCACAGTGGAAAGACAATGTGGACATGCATCCATCAGCACGGGGACAATTCCAACAGAGAGCAGCTCAAATCGTACACAGCACTGATCAGGCAGTGGAAGGGATTATTTTCTTCCTGTTTATTTTTCAAATGTTCTACAATATTTGGTTATGTATTTGGGGGTATAAAAAGAAAATCAGCATTAAAACAGCACGGGGATAAATACAATCTCAAGAGTCACAGTGGGCCGCTATCCTTCCTGTACCCCCACAGCTCAATGACAAGTTGCAGGCCTGGAGGAATCCTGTGAGCGACCGGGCACTTCTCTAGTCTTGCTGGATTCTACATCTATCGCAGAGGTGGCAATCCTGCAGCACAGGGGCCGCAGTGGGCATGAGAGCCCCCTGTCAGCATGAGAGCCAAGTCGCCCTGCAGTGGAGCATCAGGTAACAGTTATTTTTCTACAGTATTCAGGTGCCACTACAGTGGGGGTGCTTTGGAATAAATAAGTGGGCTTGGGATTGCAGTTTGGGCATTCGGTCTCTAAAGGTTCCCATCACTGATCTATAGACACATGTTCAGTCACCATGCATCCCCAGTTTGAACGACAGTTGTCCACATTTCTAAGCAGACGTGTTTCACAGATTAGGGTTCCACACTCGACAGAAGTCAAGACCTGGCTGTGTTTGTGGATAGTTAGAGCAACAAGAACCTGTGACCAAGGGCTCCTGCCTACAGACCCTGCTCACAGCCTCTGGGTGCTGGGTCCTGAGGCCCAGGATGGAAGTATGAGGCCTGTTCCACAGACACCTGGGGAATCCACCCAAGGTCACCCAGGGCTCATTCACAGGACCTGGAGCAACCCAGGCTCCAGAGCAGATTTCATCCACCACACCAGCTCCACCCAGATTCTAGACTCTCCCAAACCGGGAGATATTACCTGAACCCCCACGCCCTCCGAGGGTGAGCTGTACAATCCTATGCTTTTCCATGTGGCAAAATCAAAGCCACTCTCCTCTCGAAGGACACGTGACTACTGCTTCCCTGCCTACCCTGGGAAGACAGACACAAGAGCCACCAGAGCTGCAAACTGATCCTCAACATGAGACCCGGAAAACTTGAGCACCTCAGTCATTATCAACACAGCAGACAATGGCAAAGCACAGAGCAATTCTCTCAGGGAATCAGCTTCAAACTACAGTATTATAAACTACTCAGGCTGATGACAGCACCCAACCAAAATCACCTCAGGCTACTCAATAGTCGTGCAAGATCACCCGTGAATCGGGCTCTGGAGAACCCTGCCTGGCTTTCAGTAGTCACCACACCTTGTTTGCCTTGGCCCCCGCGCCACTGCTGATCTTTAGTCATGCAGTGGAGCTTCTCAAAGAGCCTTTCAAGTTCATTCTCTGCAGCACAACATCCGAAGTTCCATGAGCCACTCCGTTTTCAGTTTCCCTGACTCAACTTTTTGGAGTTTTATAATTAATTATATTCCATTATTACTGGTCATCAATTAGCTCAAAATGTTGTGGAGATGGTTAAGTATGCTGAAGAAGGCAGAATTTAATGATAATTTGAGACCAGTAGGACACTAAATTTCTTTCTTGTTAATAATTAAAGTAGATAACTTATGTTTTTATTTATAGCTTCCAGAAATATCCGGCCCATCCCTGAGCACTGCCCGGTCAGCTAATCCACACTGGCCAGGGTCTGGCGGGGCTGCTGGCTCTCCTTTCCACATGTGATGTGGCCACTGAGGCCGGTGTCTCGGGGTCCTCTCCGGACTTCCCCTCTGCCTGGCCAAATGCTCGCCCTCATCAGTATGGAAAGGGTGGAAGCAAGTAAAAGCCCGGCTTACCTGTTTCAATCTCCCAGATGTAGGCAGAGTCATCGGCGCACCCAACAATCAGGAAGTTCTCCACCGGGTGCCATTTGATGGCAGTCACAGGGAAGAGGTGCTTCCGGGCCTGCAGGAGGAACCTCTTCTCTTCCAGGTGCAGGAGGGCTACCGAGTGGTCACCGCACACACAGCACACGGTCCAGTCGTTGGGAGACAGCAACACGCCTTGCTGAGTGAGGAGAGCATTTTTTTAGGACTAAGTCAGGTATCTCCCCACAAGAGGAAGCATTTTCGTAAGGCCCCAGTTCTACTTTCCGCAGAGCCTCTTCCCACAGCCTTCTGCGGAGGAGCTCCAGACAACTCACAACGCCACAGGAAGGCCAGGACACGCAAGGGAAAGGACCCACTCTGCTCAGAAGATAAATGAAGGACTTGAGCATCACTCAGCAAACTCCAGCAGAGGCAGACATCGGAAACAGCACAGAATAAAACAAACCCCGGAACTAATTTGCTGCCACAAGATGAAGCTATTTGTAGACATGAGCTTAGGCCTAAGGGTATCATGAGCTCAGAGTTTCCACTTAAAGCCTCAGAATGAGATTTGGTGCCATTCCCACAACTATACAGATTGTACTCCCAAAAGGAAACTCAGTGTAGACACAATCTAAAAGAGGTAAGCACTAGATAATTCCATCTCCAAGACACAAGGGCCCCAAACAGGCTCAGAGGACATCACTAAAACACCGTGTGAGAAGTCGGCATGTGTTTACCCTGACCACAGTTTAGGACATGGCCACCCATGTGAGGGGCTGTGGACTTGCCCCGAAGTTTGGCTGCTGTGTGTGAAGTCCTGCTGAGCTATCCTGAGCCTTTTCAGGGCCCATGGTAACCCTGGCGAACATATTTTCTTTCCTTATTCTCTTCGAGGAGACTATGGAAATCCTGAGGTGATATATTTAAAAATGGCTGGAGGAACACACACGTGGCCTGGACTTGCAGAATGGATGGAAGCCATTTCTCCAGCCATCCCAGGTCTTGGAGACAAAGCACAAACACACAGTCACTGCATGAGTGAGGCCAATCCAGGCAGCTGAAAGGTGGTTCTTTAGGAAGAAGCGAGAGGAGGGTGCAATCCAGAGGAGAAGCAGAGAAGCATGCTATTTGGGTGCAAGGGACCTGGCTTCTGAGCTTTCCTGCAAGTCCCCAGACACTGGTGTGTTCTGTCCCCAACGCCCGTGGGGTTACTGCTCTGCTGTCAGCAGTGACCCTGTGTGGGACCTGTGAGAATGACCTCCCTGAGAAGTCATCTGTGACTACCACAGGAGTGGGGGGGTGAGGGAAACGGGCGGGACTGGCACGCTGTCACTGAAAGAAATATAATTAAAAACAAAGCAAAGAAAAAGATATGCCGAGGAACTCCAAATTGCCACATGGAAGCTTTCTTTTATATACTCACGTTACTTTCACTCTGGTTTGTGTGTTGCTAAAATATTGCTTCCTATGTCTTAAATTTTCTCCAAGTTTAATTTGGAGATGATTTTCATAATATAATGGAGAAATAACATTATAAGCCAATCAGCTATTTTATAAAATCACTTCACTTGTATTATCCCGTGCTTTTGGTGCACAGGAAATGCAAAAGCTGCTTGTTCATGTTTAACAAAGACATAGCAGGCAGAATTTAAGCTGACATTTCATGAGAAAATATACACAAAAATGTTTCGTTTTGCCTAACACAAAGTAGATGATCATAAATTTGTTGAAGCTCAATATTTACTTAGAGATAAATAAGCAAACAAAATTGATGAAAAAACAATGTAATTATTTATCAGTACTATAAAAGGAAATTGTTGAAAGCACAGGTTAATTTCTAATTTATACATTCTTACATTTTCTATTTGTTTTTGCATTATCTATTTTATTTTGAAAACAACACAGAGAACTAGAGGGAAAAAAGGGTAACTACTTGGGAAAATTGTCTATTGTAAAGTTGCAATTGATTAAACATTTGCTTTAGAACCATATTATGTGTGTAAGAATAAAATTAACATAAAAGATGAGAAATGAACAGGAAAAAAATCACCAGTTACATTATGAGTACACAGAACTTTTCTTCCTATATAAATATAGGCCATTTTTTTCCTTCTTTTCAAAATATCCTGCAATGTTACATAACTCAAATTATGTGTTTTGTTTTGTTTTTCTTTTTAACTTACTCTGAAGTTCTCTGGTGACATCAGAAGACTCGTTACTGGCCCTGCTTCCAAAAAGAAAGTATGCAACAATTCTTCGGTAAAGATGTCCCACAGGATGACGCATGAGCTCTGGTCTCCTGACAGCAGCCAGCTTTGGTCCAACTTTGAAGAGAGGCCATGAGGGTACAGTAAGGAAGTCACACTGTGCTGGTGGCCATTAAGGACTTTGTGAGCTGGGGAATCTAGACAACAATCCAGTATCACATAATGCAAAAGTTACTTTGTTCAGGAAGTAACTCTGACATTTTCTTATGCATATTTTTAATGTAAGCATGCACTTGTCTAAAACAATTAGAGGGCAGGGATGTAGCTCAGCAGCACAGCACCCACATGGTAAGTGCAAGGTTCTGAGTTTGATTTCTGGTACCGAAAATAAAATAAATAAAATAAAACAAAACAATCAGAGAGCAGTCTTTAGACTGTCTTAGAAGGGAGTTCCTCCTGGAAGCCAGGTGAAGGTGTGCAGAAAGCACTAAAGTTGGTTCACAGCTATGGATTCTTTATGGGTTTAGCAAGCTACCAGTTCTTGCACCATGAAGCAGCACTGTTCCTAAAGGAATGAACAATTATTATTTCTGCTCCACAAAAAAGCCAGATTATGACTCCTGCTCTCTACATGAGTATAATTAAGTTAAGCCTAACATATGAACATTTTGATTCAAAAAATGTTGGAGATTATGGAGCTCTACCTCTTTTTTGCTACAGTATGTGAGGCTCAAGAGGCTAAAGGAGTTAATCCCAAGTGTCAAAACCCAAGGGTAACGTATAAGGGCACTGATCTGCTGTTAAGGAGACCTGCCCTTTATGTGAGGTCAATCACTTCCTAGATGGGACTGGTGGCGAGGAGGTGGCCTTTCCCTTTCACTCACATGTGCGCTTCTGGAGGGATGGACACGAAGTCTGTGGCTCCCTAGCACTCTGCCTGGCACGCAGTAGGCCCACAGTATTTCAGACCCCATCTGTGCCAATGTGGGGCTGTGGGCACCTTCCTCCTCTTCCCACCAACCACCTTCTCCCCTCTCTTATAGTGACCTGAACTCCTCAAGACTCTCAAGGCTCCTGGGCCACAACCTCCCTGCATTCAAAGTGAAAGTGAATCCCCACATCCACTGTTACTTCACTGACTCCTACCATAAAGCACATCCTGCCTGCCTTCCCCTAGCAAATCATGATGAATATTAATTCAGATGCTGCAGGTCAAACGTAAGTTTAGGGTTTCTTTCGAGGACATTAGGATAAGTCAGCCTAGATGAAAATGCTAAGGTCTTGGATTTCTCACTGCCTTCTAGGAGCAGCTGTTTGGCCACTGATGCTTCTCCTCTCTCTTCACAGCCACTTGCCCTGAGTGTCACTGAGCCACAAGTCAGAAGCATCCGGGACATGGTCACAGGTCAGAACAACAGGGGACCCGCCCCCAGTGAGATTTAACTCTCCTCTCAAGGTCTCACATTCTGACAGGAATTACATGATTTTACAGTGGCATAGCTTTTCTGCACAATCTAAATCTCAATCCCCTTCTGTTTTCCTCCATATATAGACAACTCACCGCATAACAGTATTTAAGTACTTGCTATAATCATGCAAAGATATATAAACACACATACAGATTTCATTAACAAAAAAAAATTAAAACAGGAAGGTACCATTTTGCCCAATTGGCAAAGATTTTAAAGCTAAATAGCACACAAAGCTGGCAAAGGTTTGAGGGCACAGGCATTTGTAAAAGCTACTACTGGCCTTGTGTGTCTAGTGATGCAAGGCTTTTACAGAACCTATTCAATATGCTTCCCAAATTAAAACTAAAAACAAACACTGATCCAGTAATTCTTCTCCCGGGGGTGAGTACTACAGGTATACCTACATGTATGTATAAGGATAAATAATCCTTTATTAATAGTCTAATGCACTTAAAGACTAGAAAGGATAAACACCCATGATGAGTTTTAAATTTAAATGTGATGACTGTTAGCCATTTCAAATATGCTTATCAAGAAGAAACATCAAAATACTTTATGAAGATTTCTTTAAGGACATCTTAGCAAAGTGGACAGGGTAAGCATATTTGTGTATTAAAATTACAGCATATACACCACTACTCAGAATGTACTTGTGTGTACATGGAAAATTTCAAGCAGGGTACAAAGAAACTTATTTACTGTTGCCTTTGATAAAAGCAAGTAGAAGCTCAGTAAGGAGAGACATATTTCTCCTTGCACTACTTTCTTCCTGAGTTTTGAAAACCTCTACGCTTTGCTTCAATGTTACAATGTGCACAAATCTGTCAGCAAGCACAGTCCCTGCGGCTCTGAATGCTCCTTGGTGCAGTGTGAGGCCCTGAGGCTGAAGCCTGGATGAGCTTTATAAAAGGGGCCCTCTAGGATCAAGTCACCTGGCACAGAACCGCTATGCAGGAGCCCTGCTCTGGCCACATTCAGCGCCTGTGTGACAAAGATGGCACCATCCTCGCAGCCGCAGATGAGTCTGTCCAGGCTGGGCACATACTCTGATGTCGTGACAGCCGGAGCCCCGGCCTCATCCCCAGACCCAGAGAACCTGTCCAGGATGCTTTGTGACAGTGTCTGATGCCTATCAAAATTATCTTGAAGGGCCCAGGTGGTGGTGATCGGGATCTCTAAAAGGAAAACATACAGAAAGGGGGAGTTGGTGTTTATCAATTCCTAATAGGGAAAATACTAACCAGGCATCATCTCCAAAACCATGGAGATGGAGTAAGAGCTGATCCAACGCACACAGCTGGTACCCATCCCTTGCTACATTCAACTGGTGCTGATCTGAGTTACACTGGTTGCAGTGAATCAGGTCTGAGCTTTATATCTACACCTGCTTTAAAGAGGTGTGATAAAAAAATAGTGAATGTTTAGCTTTCTCAAAAATTATTACAATAAAACACATTACCATTAATGTCCCCCAGAAAATACTCCTCCTGCCTTCAAATACCCTTCTCTCTTGGTTCTTGCCACTTTCTGCAGCAGCTCTGGAGTCCTCTTTCCTGAGTGTCTTTACTTGTGCGGTCCTGGCTGCCTTGACAGCCTGAATCCCTGCAGAATGTTTTTCATTCAAGGTCAAAATGACCTTGGGGAAGAGACATAAATTGCATGGCACTAAGTCAGGTGAATAAGGTGGATACAGACACGCTGTAATGTTTAAATTAATTTGAAAATTTAGACCAGGGTGCGTTTACAGTAGATAATGATTATATTTATCATGGGGAGTTGGTACATACACATAGCACCTTTTAATTGTTTTCATGAGCCTGCCTTTCTCCAGCAGCAGCATTCACAGTATTTTTTATCTCGCCTTGTGAGGACATTCAGAATAAAGGACTTTCAGAACTGCTTTAACAAGTGACAAGAAGAATGGGCTACACACGCAGGAGGATTCTGAAGGGGGTTCATGGCATGTCTTTCACTTCGATACACCATTTTTAGTTGAAACATTCACCATGTATTTTGGTCAGGCCTTATATATTGACATCTAACACACCGTAGTATGTGCGAAAATTTGTTTTGTCTGAAGGCTCATCTTTTTTTTTTTTCCAGTACCAGGAATCAAACTCAGAAACATGCACTTGCCAGGCAGGCACAGTGCCAATGAATGAAGGCCCATCTTAAGGAACTTGGTACAACACTTAGTTATAAATTGGTTCTTAGGAGAGATGGGACTGGGAATCTTACCTCTTGGAGAACCATCGAACTTGGTCACCGGAACATCAGGGATGTGCCACAGAGTAATCCTTCCTGACACTTCTCCAGAGAACAGCACCTTGTAGAAAGGTTCCTTCCTTTCATTCATGTAGCCCATGACAAAGGGAAGGCTCTGCAAAGCACAGGTGACCTTTGAGGTGGGAGCACTGTAACTTAGACAGCTATTGTTTTTAAACAGAGGGGCAAGACCTGCATAGCTAAACCTGGTCTTTTCCCTTTATTTCCCATTGTTTCAAAAGTTTCCAGTGAACTAAGTGAAATGACCTATGATTTTGGACAAAACGACATTCAAAACCAAAAGCAAAGCCATCATATAAACTTCAGAGAGTGGATAAGGGTTTCTCACACTTACAAGCTGCAGTCTGCATCATTACACAGTTATACGCACACATCACCCGGAGGACCTTCGCACACACTCGGTTAAACAACCCCGAGGACATCCTGTGCCCTTGGGACTGTTGTCGTCTTACAGAGATGAGGAAGCCCAAAACGGGTTCAATTTCCTCACAGGGATGCAGACACAGGTGTTCTGCGCTCTGTGTAACAGTATCTAATCTACACCATGTGCGGTGTGCTGTATGATGAATGCAAACTGCACCCCTAGTCTCGAGACAGCTTCCGTGCAGATGGGCCAAGGGGTCCACTCGTGAGCTCAAGTGCCCCAGACAGCTGCTCCTGGCCAGCCTCCTCCAGGGAGATTACCACGGGGATCGGAATGATTAAGTGATTAGAAAAACCAAGCCCTCTTTTGATGTACAAATACAGGCATCCTGTAAAGGAGGCCAACTGCTGGTGCCAGAATTAAAGAAGCCTAAGAAAGTGACAGCTCCTAGACACAAAAAGCATGCTTTCCAGACTTATGTGCAGGAGTAGAAATCTCTGCAGTGTATTGTCAGAGGACATGAAGGATCAAGTTAGGACTACAATTACTCTGGACAACAAAGCTAGGAAGTAAGCACTGTCACAACTACTGTTACAGACCTACAGCAGGGAAAATAAGGAACAAGCCCAGCCACCTGCTGAGACAGGCACACTGTGTCCTCCAAGATGAGCACAAGCACAACACAGTCCCAAGCCACACATGTCCACCGAGTGCGTACTTTCTGGGGTGCTGCCAATCTCACGGACACGATTCTTAGCTGTTATCAGTGGCTGTGGCTCAGTGCATGGTAGAGACTGACCAGAGAATTGTGCCTGCCTTTAACTGACTCTTGGTGAAGGGCAAGCAGGGTTCAGTAGGCCCACGACTCCCTTCAGCCCACACCACCCCGCACTACTGCACTGCTTCTCGCCCTGTCACGCCTTTGTAGCAGAAACAACTGTGGTTGCTTGAAGGAGAATTATGGATAGAAGGCCCAGACATTTATGGCCTCACATTTTGAAAACATTAGTCTTTCAGTCCGTGTTTGCAGTACACGTTTAGGTCCCTCTTGGGGAGCCGGTCTGTAAGCCTCACGTGGTCTCAATCCTTTCTTCATCCCCTTTCTTTCCCCCTTGTTCCCTTCAGCTCCAGATTTCCTTCCTGTCTCACAATGATCACTCCATTTTCTATTAATCTAACTTTCATTTTGTTCTTTACTTATATAGTACTATGAGTTTCTCATATAAGAGAAACTATGTGATATTGAAGCTTATGTGTCTGATTCATTTCACTTAAAACTGTGGTCTCAAGCTTCATCCACTGTCCTACAAATGCCTCGTTAATCCTTCTTTATGGCTGAGTACTACTTCATTGTAAGTACCACAGTTTCTTTATCCATTCATTTGCTGACAAACATGTAGTCTGCTTCCAAGATTTAACTATTATAAATTGTGCTCCTATAAACATAGGTATGCATGGATCACCGTAGTATGCCTTTAACTCATTTGGGAAGATAACTAGAAAGGGAATAGCTGGGTCAAATGAAATTTTTAATTTTCTGAGAAATCTCTATGCTGTTTTCTATAATGGTTGTGCTAGCTTTCATTCCCACCAACAGTCCAGAAGGGTTACTATTTCCACAGCCTAAACAGCATTTGTTGATCTGAAGTCTTGATGATGGCCATTCTTTGTGGAGTAATACGGGATCTCCACATTGTTTTAATTTGAACTCCTCTAATACACAGAGATTATGCATTCATTAGCTTTGACTTCTGAGAAGTGTCTATGTTCATTTCACTTGTCCAGTTTGTGTCTGGACCTTTTATTTTGGGCACTAATTTTTTTTAGTTCCTTCTATGCTCTAGATATTAGTCCTCTATCTGGGGAGGAGCTGCAAAAATTTTTTCCCATCCTGTAGGTTGTCTCTTCAGTCTGTTGGTTGTTGTGCAGAAGCTTAATTTAGTATGATTCCATTTTTTGATTGTTAGTACTATTTCCTGTGCAACCAGGATTCTGTTCAGCAAGTCTTTGCCCACATCTATGACTCAAGAGTTTTACTTTCCTATTTTATCTTCCAACAAATTGTTTCTGTTTTAACATTTGTACCTTTAATCTATTTTGATTTTAGCTTAGCACATGGTGGAAGACAACGGTCTAGACTCAGTCTTCTGTGTGCAAATAGTCAATTTTCTCAACACCATTCATTAATCAAAGATGCTCTCTTTCCTCCAGTGTATGATTTTGGACCCTTTGTCAAGGATCAAATTGTTAACATGCTTGGAGTGCTATCTTCATCCTCTACTCTATTCCAGTGATCCATGCATCTGTTTTTGTGCCAATACCATGCTGTTTATATCATTGTAGATTTGTAACATAAAGTCCAAGATTTCAATACCTCCACTTTGTTCTTGTTGCCCAGGACTGTGCTTGTTATTCTGGTCTCTTCTGATACCATGTAAATGTTAGGATTTCTTTCTCTAGTTCTGTGAAGCAAGCTGTTGATACTTTGATTGGGACTGGGTTAAATCTGTATATCAGTTTTGGAAGTATGGCCATTTTGGTTCTGCCTATCTGGGAAGAGAGGATGTCTTTCATTTTCTGATGTCCTCTTCGAGCTCCTTTCTCAGAGTAGTTTTCACTGTAGAGGTCTTTCACTTCTTTAGTGTTATGACTTGTGCTTAGATGGCCCCCCAAAGCCTCATGAGGTCATAGGTGGGGCTTTTTTTTCAGAGGTTGTTGGATCTAGAGTGTGTGACACTGGAGTTGTTTCACGGTGTAATGCTAGGCTCAAGGGCACCTGGATTAAGGGCATGAATACTACACCTCCTAAGTAGCCTGGATAAGATAAAAGGGGAAGAAAGATGTTAAGGTCTCTTTTTGCTTTTACTCTCTTTGCCTGCAACTCTGCCTTGGAACCAGCTGATTATGAACTGAAACCTCTATGAGCTGTAAGTCAAATAAGCCTGTCCTTCTTTAACTTGTGGGTGCTGAATATTTTGTCTCAGCAATGAGAAAAATAACTAAGACAGTTAGGTTAATTCCTCAGTATTTAAGTTTTCTTCTTGATATTATGTATAGTATTCTTTCTGTAATTACTTTCTCAGTGAGTTCAAAGAGCCCAAACAAATAACCTAACAATGCAACTCAAGGTATAAGAAAAATGAGAACAATCCAAAACCAAAGCTAGTACAAGGAAGGAAATAATAAAGATTAGAGCAGAAATCACTGAGAGTGAGATTAAAAAAAAGAAAACTACAGAGATCAGTGAATTAAAATCTGGTTTTTCAAAAGAATAAGCAAAACAGACAAGGCCTTAGCCAATTTCACCAAACAGAAGACCCAAATCAATGCAGTTAGAAATGAAAAAAGTGAAATCACAATATACACTGCCAAAATCCAGAAGATCATTACCAACTACTCTGCAAACCTATATGCCAAAAATTTGGAGGATTTACAAGAAATGGACAGATTCCTCAATCCACATGAATTACCAAATTGGAACCCTGAATAATCCAGTAACAGGCAAAAAATAGGCTCAGATGGATTCACAGCTCATTTCTTCAAAAACTTCTGGGGAATCTAACACCAATACTGGTCAAGCTGTATAATGAAATTGAAAGGGAAGGAGTACTCTGAAAGACATTCCTGGAATATAAGGTTACCCTGACTCTAAAATCAGACAGACTAAAACTAAAAAGAGAACTAAAGGCTAATCTCTCCAATGAATGTTCATGCAGAAATTCCTCAACAAGATACTGGCACATAGAATGCAACAAAATCATCAAAAAGACCAAGGAGGATTCATCCCAGGAATGCAAAGATGGTTCAACATACTCAAGCCAACAAATGTAACAACACATTAACAGAAGCAGGACAAAAATTACATGATCATCTCAATAGATACAGAAAAAGCCTTTGGCAAAGTCCAACATCCATCCATGATAAAAACTTTGAAGAAAATATGCATGGAAGGACTTTATCTCAGTCTAATAAAAGCAATCTCTGACAAACCTACTGCCAACATCATATTAAATGGGGAAAAACAGAAAGCTTTCTAAGATCAGAACAAGACAAGGATGTCCACTACCACCATTCCTGTTCAACACAGTCCTCAAAGCATTAGCCAGAGCACTTAGGCAAGAAGAAATAAAAAGAATATATACAGGAAACTAAGAAGTCAATGATCCTCAATGTAGAAAACTCCCAAAAATTTACCAAAAGACTCCAAAAATAACCAAATTCATCAGTATAGCAGGATATAAAATCAATACACAAGAATCAATAGCATTCTTGTGCATCAATAATGAACTCACTGAGAAATAAATGATTTTTAAGCTGTTATGCATGTAAAGTTGTTATTTGCAGTAGGTTAGGTCATAAAGGGTGTGACTTATGTTGGACTTTAAGGTAAACTGTGTCATAAAAATATTCACTGGAGCTAGAAGCAGGAGAGAGAAGGTCACAAAGGTGATAGTGCTTCCCAGAGAGGCCAGGACACCACTGTTGTAGCCAACAGCAGAAGCAGGCTCCAGTCTGCCTGTGGGCAACTTTAGGACATCCACTGATGCATGCCATCAGGTGAAAGCCACCTCTCTCCCATGCCAGCCCAGCTCATGACGCTGGCTGTCAGCTTCTTAACACAGCTTTTGCAATAAACTTTTCCACTGATATGCTGAAGGGACAATTTCTACACTATAGGATTTCCAACAGGATTTCCTACTCTGCCTAATTAAGCAGACAATCATCCTGTAAGAAGTAGCGTGCTTTCTTAGTAATTCAAAACACGTCCTCTTTCTATGAAATACCTTTTTGGATAATTGATGACTGAGTCTAGAGGTTTTAAAAAATCACTGTGGGTCCCACCACTGCAGTAAAATACCTACTTAGATTTTCAGACTTCCTAGAGCGTTAGATGTATAATTCAGTCAAGTAATAAGCTCAAAATTATATTCACAACTCTCAGCCAGAAAGTGTACTTATATTTGTTTTACCAAGAAAAGTTACTCATAAGAAAAGCTAAGTACATGTGAAAATGATCTTAGTATATAGTTAAGTAAAAAAAAACCTCAGGATAAAAACCATTTCATAAGGTTTCAAAGACATCAATGTTAACATTGTTCTGTCAACTATCTGTAGGGTCAAAGACAGGTATAAATTTTGTGCATGTGTGTGTTGGGGGTGAGTGTGTGACAAACACTTTAATAATCAGTGACTCTACATAAAGGATATATAAATAATCATTGTACTATTTTAACATTATAGTATTTTTCAAAATATTTGAAAATTTTCAACTACAATGAGTAAATACATAAAACAAAATTTAACAATTCACAGTAAATATTTAAGGTGGTGAAACTAGAATTTTAATTTCTCTTTTATGTTCTTCAAAATTTGTAATTCTTCTCATAGTAGATAGATTCTATTTTGTTAATCAAACTTTGAAACAACAGACACTGAAGGGCAGTGGTGCCTCCTCAGCGGACATTAACAACCAAGCTGGGTTTTCTTGTTATCAACTGAACGTGATGCTCCAGTCTAACTTTTCCAGCTGACTCTGCTGCAAACAAAGCCTCCCTGCCTGAGGCTCAGCTGCAGCATCGTCAGGAGGCCTCTGCTCCTGGTTACCTGATTTTCCTCCGCGGAAGCAGAGCACAGTAAATGTGGATAAACGGTCTCTTTTAGCAGCCTCCCGTCGGCTGGGTTGCTGCTTTTGGAAAGCCCACTGCATGGCAGAATAAAAAGCAGAGTTGAGAACTGTGTGGTACTTTACTTATTTCCTCCCCCTCCCTCTTTCAAAAGCCTGATGGTACCATTCAAGTTTCTAAACTCTGGCTCGGAACTGTCAGTTAATAATCACAAGTGACTTTCTGGAAGCCGGGCACCAGCTGGACAAGTTATACATGGTTAATCTCATTCCTCTGTCCCCCGCTGTTCTGCACAAAGCCGGTAGCCCACCAAGCCCACAGCAAATCTCCCAGTGCCAGAGCTGTTTTGTTCTGCTTTTTGATCACGGGCGGCACACAGGGCTTCTATAATAAACCTCCCAAAGTTCATTTTCTACCTGACTGTGCTGGTGCCGCCCCCTCTGCGCCCACCTGTTCAGCAGCTGATAGATGTAGCTGCGGCCGTCTTCGGTCCAGATGAGGACCCTGTGGGCCGCCAGCACCTCTCCTCCCGCAAAGAGACTCCCGCTGCTGCTGTCCTCCGACCACAGGAGGGAAAAGTCGCAGTAATCATACACCTAGAACACAGTGAGGCGTCCCCCAGAGCTCCCAACGCTGTGCACACCCTGGTGAGAGGAGTCCTGCCCACCAGGACGCTCAGACAGCTCAATCCAGGGAGATTCACTAGGACTTACTTTTTCAGTTATTCTGAAGTGGCTTTCAGCTGATAGCTCATCTCACTGTCTCTTTCGAGAATCGAAACCCTGAATCTCAGCTTTCTAAACAATTTATTTGTGTATGGGTAGTCCAGGTTTAACGTTTGGACGTTTACTGTACACAAGAATAAGTTTATATAGTAGACATCCTTTGTTAGATCATGTACTTTCAATATTTTCTCCAAAATATATTATCACCCTACAGGTAAGACTAAAGTTTTGCTAATGAAGCCAGTTATATAAAACATTAAAGAAAGCACATTCTCTATCAAATGATGGTAACTTGGTTTTCTTTCATCTTAGATGCACCAATGGATACAGTCACAAGAAAAAAATGTGTGTTTCTAGAAACAAATGTAGTGACAGAAGAAAAAAAATCTAAAAATATAATGTATGTAGGTGAAAACTACTAGTTTTCTTTTTAATTCTAGAGGGAGCACCAATTTTTGACAATAGTTTAAAGATAAGCGTTCAGTATCACAGTCTGTCAGGAGCACAATTAGGATGTGCAACTACACACACAGCACCCTGGGAAGCAGAGAGCAGCACACAGGCACCTGACAATGGACAGCAGTCATCAAAGACGGGCCACCTTATGCTCTGGTGACCCTATCTTCAAGAGCTCCTGCCCTGTTTAAATCATATTCTTGTCACTGTTGCACTGAACAAGAAAAAAATTTACACTCGTACATTCATTGTCTACAATACCTTCCAACACCTAGGAAACACCACCAACAGAAGTCTCTCTGTGTACGTGCAAAATCGTATCGTCTGGCAGTTCATGGAGTCCAGAAATTTGGATTCTTTTTCATAGACATCTTGTTTTTCCTTTAAAAGGCAAGAAAACCCATAAGCACTGATACCAGGCCAGGTGTAGGAGACCAGGAAAAAACCTGCTTGTGCACACACAGGAGTGGATCACACCACTATTTAAACAAAAGTACTCAAGTGTCTTTTTTTTTTGGTATCAGGGATTGAACTCAAGTCCTTGCACTTGCAAGGCAGGTGGAGGAACCACTGAGCTAAATCCCTGGCCCTCAAGTGTCTTTTTGAGTTTTCTGAACTACAAAGCTACTTTGCATGAGAAGCCATAAACAGAAAATGCACTCGGACCCAGGAACGAATTTTACGTACTCAGCAAACTTTCTGTGATAGAGCATGCTAGGTGCTGAGAATGGAAAGTGAAGCTACTGACTTCCAGGCACGGCACAAAGAGCAAACAAAAGCATGATCGTTTTCTAAAGCATGTGTATTCACTGCCAATAAAGAAACAAGCAAGGTGCTGGGGACAGATGTGGATGACAGCACATGTGGACTACGGTGGCCCGAGGATACGTGTGCGTTCCCAGTGCCCTGCAGGCCCTCAGCACCTCGGCTTCCTCCCCGGGTCCCTGCTATGGACCCAGAGCACAGGGCTCACCCAGCGACTGTCACCAGTGCAAGTGCTGCCTCTGTGCTCCAACTGTGCCACGTGTCACAGGAAGCGGTGGACACGCTGGACCGCAGGCCAAGGCCCCACCACGTGCAGACAGCCGGAAAGGGGCTCTGCGTGAGGGGCAGATGGGCACTGCATCTGCAAGGACTTAAGCTAAACATGCTCCGTGTGTCCGTGTGTGTGTGTGAAACAGTCACATATTCATGGGCCGTGTGGCACAGACACAGTCCAGCAGCACCAGAGCCCACCCGGAAAGACAGACAGGGAAGCAGGAAGAGCCAACCCCTCACTCACATATAAGTGAGAGTGCACAGGAGCCCTGTAGTTTGCAGTTTGCACACACATGTGCCAGACCGGGGAGGACAGGATCTCCGACCCACCTGGATGCTGTTGATAGCTGAGGAGAGGTCCCACACTTTGAGATCCCCGGTCACTGTCACAGCCAGCAGAGAATCTTCTGGAAGAGAGCAGAGGTCACACTTGAGTGGCCTGCACAGTGCAGAAGCACCTGGGGTCAAGTAAGGTGGCACAGGGCAGTGGAGGTGGGAGATGCCAGCTTCCTGTTGTTCTAAACAGAAGACAAATGCTTCATGTGGCATCTGGAGCACTGGCTATCACTGGGGGGAGGGGAACCCACCCCAGTGCCCGCAGGGCTCCTGCTGCAGACTGGGCCACACCGAGCCAGAGCCAGGCATCCCTGGAGATGCAGCCACACAGGTAGGACTGGGGAGGGACCCAGGGATTGGCCACCAGCTCCTCCACTGGCCTCACGCTGCCACCACCCCTTACCTTGGACCCTCACGGAGTGGACGATGCACATGCAGGTGACCCAGTCTGGGCACTGAGAGGATGCCAGCGCGTGGACCACGGCCAGAGTCCTGGCGTCCATGACCAGCACATCCTGGTACTCCCCGCAGCACAGCAGCCAGCCATCGCCTGCCATCCGGGAGGAGCAGTGATAATACTACAGGGTCACAGCGGAAAAGGCACTGTTAGGGCGGGAACCAGACTAGGTGGGGCTTTATTTTGTGGTACTGGACACTGAACCCAGAGAGCCCAGCTCTGAGCTGTATCCCCCCGTTTCTATCTTAAGACAGGGTCACACTGTATAGCCCAGGCTGAGCTTGAGGTTGTGATCCTCCTGTCTCGGCCTCCCACAGTGCTGGGGTTACAGGCGTGAGCTACCACGCCTGGCTTAACACAATTTTAGCTATGTTGAGGACTTCCCTCAGTGTTAGTTGCAGCATCTGTTCAGTGAAGGCATCAAACTGAATAGCAACTAAAATTTCCTTGAGATTATTTTCTATAATGTTGATTTTTTTACTTTACTTTGATTTGTATTTTTCATTTCTCTGAAGAAAAGGGGGTATTATGGAAAGAAGAAATAGTCTAAATCATAGAAAGCTCACAGGTGTGCTGTTTCTGGGTATCATATAGAGCTAAACAGCAACAGCAAAACCCAGTTCTTTATTGTAGCAATATTGCTACACATTAATGAGGAATACAAGTATCTGAAGTACATGTGAGTATTTCCTGTGCCAAATAAGTTTTGGAAATGACTTTTATTAAAGATCGTGTAGCATTTTCCACCTTCTGTGAGCTTCCCCACTGCAGGATGTGGCCCAAGGAAAACAGAAGAGTTTGCAAATGTTATAATTTAAGACATCAAAAAGTAACACGCACACACACAAATAAATAAAAAACTCTAAGTACCAGTGAAACCCCACAGCTACCTCCCCTGTGTGGAAATCCAGCCACCAAAACTTAAAAGCTGTTGCAAAACATTGCAAAGTGATTATAAAGGTCAAGGAAACAGCTCTAGGTCTCTTTCCATACATGAAAAAAATTAAGAAATTAAGAACAAAATATATAGATGAAAAATGAAAAGGAGCGAGAAAATATTTCTGCTTTATAAAACAGCACATCATTAAAGCTGACCCTGTAATGCAGGTAAGTTTTGTGACTGTCACTGAGGAAAGTGCACATAGCAACCTCAAAGATAGGATACAGAAATGAAAGAAGTAGGAGAAAAATCTCGCCGAGCAGTATGTTTTGAGGAAGATAATGCCCCAGCAGCAGATGGTGATTTGAGGGTGTTAACCTCATAAGAAATACAAATTCACAGAGAGCCTTCTCCAGGCTGTCCACATGCACACAAAGCCCAGCACACAGGTGGAAGGACTCACGCAGATAGCCGTGTGCCTGTAGGGGAGGGTGGCCTGCTGCACGCACTGTCCGCTGGTGACGTTCCACACACACATCTCCCTAGGAGAGACAATGGTGTCACTCTGTCATTTCCACTCGACTGGCTGGGATAATTTCAGTGCCACCAAGTTTTTCTCTAGTGCACTCTTTAAGTGCAAGCTGATTGTTTATGTGGCTTTTTGTTACAGATTACTGGGCAAGGAAACGCCATGGTCATTAGTGGGCTGACACACTCCCTACATCCTTGCGTTTGGGTAATGACACCCTGCCACCGGCCCACAGACCACTGCGGGGCCCCTGAGTGTGACAAGGAAGCTGTAGCCTCTGGAAAATGGTTCATTTAACTGCATTTAGGCTACATATTCTGAGACTTGTAACCCATCAAACCAGCACCTTCGTTCTGGGCCACGGTGGCATTTTGTAAAAGCAACAGCGCCACCAAGAGGCAACACTTGTGTACCATTGGTATTATTTCTTTGCTTATCTGAAATCAGCCTTACACTTAATATTGAGAAAAAAAACTATTGCTTTAAGAACTCTTCTTTGGTTCCGTATATTACAAGACACAGACAGCATCTACAAAGTGCAGCTACAAAATACACCCGAGGCAGCACACTTTCATTCTGTATTATTTCTGTTTACAACACCAGAATGACCGTTTCAGAATTATTTGGTAAGATTTTTCAGTGTTGACAGTTTCAACACATAGGCAACATTTTCCACAGAAGAAAAACAAGTGCTTTACAGGCATTAAAGGAAATGTGGTTATTAAAAAGCAAAACATAAGACTAGTAATATTAAATACTATCTATATGAACTGGGGGATTCGAAGGCTGATTTGTTTTCCCAATCCAATCTTCTAAATCAGTGGTTTTTAACACCAGGTAATCTTGTCCCCAGGTCCCACCACAAGCCCCCTTTCTTCAATTCCAAGGACACTTAGCCCAGGACAGTCACCACCAGGAGCACACTACTGACATCTAGCGGGAGGCCAGGGGAGTGGCCGGACCCGTTCATTCTGCTCTGCTCCCACAACAAAGGGCTGGGCCGACTGACCTCAGTCTGTTCAAGGCTGAGAAACATGTTCTGGGTACAGAAGCCAAAGTCTGTAACTTCCCCTCTATTTATAGCCACACTTCTTCCAAGAGGATCTGCTGTCACCTGAAAACATAGCTATAAAACAGGAGGAAAAATCTGTGTGTGTGTGTGTGTGGGTGTGTGTGTGTGTGTGTGTGTGTGTGTACACATACATACATGCATGGAAAAATGAGATGGCAAGAAAGGTAGAAATCAAAATACCGTATCTCAAAGGTACAGCAAGGAACACATCTAGAAGGCGAATAGACGCATCTCATCTCAAAGGTAAACTGGGCCTCCAGGTTGTCATCACCATCGCCCTCCAGACCTTGGGTGCCACGTGGCTCTTGGATGTGCAGTCACAGAAGCTTGCGGCCCAGGGGCCGCATCCAGTGAGTCGGCTCTAACCCAGAAGCTCCAACTTGGGCTGGATAGCGGGTGGCTGGGAAGGGACCTCAGGCCCCTCACTGAACCTCATCACTCTAGCCGGAGAGGGTTCATGAAAGGCGCCCCCAGCAACACTATTTTTAAGCCCTGTTTGTTTCCTGATCATCTTATGTTACATTATAAATTTGATGTATTTATATTTCTGTGTCACAAAAATATCACAAAGCAGAAGCACTCAGCCTATCTGCTCTAAGAAGGGACAGCAAACATCACAGTATCACAAGGAGCACTGGCATTTTAGCTAGAACTGCACAAGTGACATGTGACAGGAGCTGAAAGCTGCAAAGTACATATTCCTTTTTGTTATTTACAAATATGATTTTGAGGGTTCGTACACAGATTAAATAAAAAACTACTCAGTTCACCAATTTCCAAATCTCTTAATTATTTATTTCAATGAAGGGAAGGAGGCCAATGAAACGTCCACATACAGGACATCCACGCATGGGTGCGGTCTCAGGACAAGGCTGGGAGGGGCCTGTGCTCCCCTCACACCATAACCTCGGCACCTCCAGTGTCTGACGAGTCAGTGGTTGGTGCAGCTGCCTACCTGGATGCCATGTTTCAGAGCCAAACTGTTTCTCAGCCCTCTCCTCGCTTAGGCACTGTCTGCAGGGACAGATGGGTCAGCTGGAGGCTACTGCTGGCCCAGACTCTCTCCCCGGGTTCTCTAGCTTTGCTGGGCACTCTGCTCCTCCTCTCCTCAACCTCTGAAGTGCTGCCTTCCTTGTTCTTCTGTGAAACCCGCACCTTGGGCTCATGGGGAGGAATCTCTGCCATCCTCACAAGTTGCCTGGTGCTGAGGCAGCTAAGGCCCAGTGAGCCTCAGGCAGGACCAAAACCTGGAGCTGCTCATGCGCCGAGTGACAGCAGCTCCCTCTGGCTTGGCAAGTGGCATCCTTCCTGGTGAGTTCCCCAGCTTGTTCTGAATGGCACGCCTACAGGGTACATGACATCCAGGTGTGGCCTAGGGCGGGGCTGAGGCCAAGCATCAGCCTCTCCCCACACATGCTAAAGCCAAAGTCTGGGCTGGAGACTCAAAATCTGCACAGGGGTCCATTGGAGACAGGCAGGTCAGTCAAGGAGCACTGCCCTGAGTGCTGGCACCCACCTGCCTCTGCCTGCACCTCTGGCTGGGGCCTGAAAGGAAATCAACTCAGAGCCCTGGACCATACTCAGCACTAAGTTGCACAGGCTGGACTCAGACTTATGTCCTTCTGTCTCAGTCTCCCATGTAGCTAGGATTACAGAGATGTGGCAACACAACTGGCTTAAAAGTTTTCTTAATCAGTAACAACCCTCTCTTATCAATGTCATGGCTTTCTGCCTTCAAATTGTGTTAACTTTATGCTTATTACTATAAAATATTAATACAGCTATATCAACCTGATTTTGGCTAGTACATACCTGATAAATGTTTTTTGTCTATTTTCAATTGTCCACAATCCTTATAGCCCATTATTTTTAATTGTCTGATAATCTTTGTAAATTAACTAGAAGACTCCATCCCATTATGTAAGTGGAATTACTATTTTATCCAGATTTATTTCAACTATCTTATTACATGCTATTTGCCTCATTCTCTGATTCTTTTGCTGTCTCTTTCACATTAAACACTTTTCTTTATTAAATTGGAAGGTATACACTCTATTACTCTTGATTTGTCTGTCCAGACTGCAGCAGGAGCTTGTTACCAGAGTCAAAGGTGAACATGCCTCTCCCCAAAAGAGCCTGGGGACCTGGCCAGGCCACTGCAGAGAGGACAGGCATATGTACAGGCCCTTCCACAGCTCCTAAAGCTTTGCTAGGCTCTGTTCAGTATTCCTCTTCCAACCCCACTTTTCCTTCAGAGATCACTTTTCTTATTCTGGAAGAACCTCATTTAGAATTTCATTACCAGGGAACCGCTAATGGGTAGAAAACATGCTGAATGTCTGTCTCAGACACCATCATGTTGCCCTAGGTATCAAAGATGTTCTTGGTGTATCCAGAGTTCTCGTGGGCAGATTATCTTCTCCTCTTCAGTCTTGGAGGGAACCCTCTACTGTCCAGTCTTACTGCTGGGAGCTGGCCCTCAGTGTAACTGACATTCTTTCCTCAATACTGTATCTACTTTTGGGGTCTTCTCCTTTTCTTTGGTTTTGCATTGTTTCCACATCAGGTCTGTGGGTGTCTACTTCTTTTCATGCTGCAGTTCACTGGGATTCCTGAATCTGAGGATTTTAGCCAATAAATGAAATGATACTTTGGGGAAAAAAATGGAAAACCACACTGTGAAGTGACTGTGTCCTTGCTGGCCAGGCTGGGACCCCTCATACTGACAATGGCCACTCGAGCCGGGTACTCACCATGCAGTGGGAGGGAAGGTGCTGCGACATAGTTACTGTAGGATCCACCCCACCTAAGAAGCGGCTTACAGATGCAGGTAAGTTAGAGACCCCAAAAGGGCATCTCAGGTCACTGTGGCAGAGGGGGATAACTCGTATAACCAAAGCAGGGTCTCCAGCTCTTTAGCCACCCTTTTTCTAGGGTATGAACAGCTGAATTAATCTATGGTCAAACACAATGCCAGGAACCCTAACTATACAGGAGATAGCTGCAGACCATGCCTGCCATCTATGGCTCAGGCAGGGACCTTGTAGATGCTTTCTCACTTGGGTCCTGAGTTCTTTCCAATACTTGAAGTGGACCCTAAATATCGATATCTCAGCAGGAATAGCAGGTTTTGTGTGGTAAACACTCTAATCCCTCGTGTATGAAAGCTACAGGCATTGGTAAAGAAGTCTGGAGGATACTTCACAAAAGCAACTCGGCAAGCTATGGACTTTCCGGGCCTGTCACCCGCCCCCACCATGACCCTGACCAGAGGGATTGGAGAAGGGGCCAACACCATGCTCCACAGCCGCCTCTACCCACCCATTCTCAGCAGCGCTCACGACGTAGGGCTGTTTGGAGAAGTCCCCCGCACGGGCCAGGCACCTCACAGCTGCTGAATGACCGAAGAGGAGTTCTTTAGCTGAGATCTGAAAGAACAGCAATCTTTTACAGAACTGGAAACTGAAGGACACAAACAGCTCACTGAGTACAAAGGTGAGGAAACTGTCTATATAGTGATTTTCCACAGGTTAAGATCCAGGAAAACTGAGGCATACAGTAATATAATTCTGGGTAGAGAAGCCGTGCTATGTGGTGTTGTCCTTGTTTTGGTTTGGGACTGCTCAGGAATCCTAGATGACTGCCAGACCCGTTTGACCACTTGGAGGTTTGAATACAAGTAAGTCACTGTTGATGCTCATTAGTATGGAGGGCCCTGGACAAGGGCACAAAACCACAGCGTTCAGAAAAGAAATGAGTTCACTAAACAGCAACAGAGACAAGATGGCCCTCGTGACCATGACAATACCTCAGGGTTGGTGGAAATACAGATCAGAAAACAATGTGGGTTCTAAGCAGACAACTCTCCAGAACATTATAACTAGCATGGCCACAGGACCACAGCTGTGTCTGGGCACAGATGCAGAGGGGTGGGAATGGGTGTCTCTGGTGGCTCTGCACCTGTGTGCACTGGACATCTTCACACAGCCACACACCGGGGACACACGCACAGAAAGACTGAGCACAGGCCTATGGAGCCACTTTGTAGTAAGAGAATCCCACCGCCACTGTGTGACAGCGGGTATACATATGGAGTACACTATGCCACATGACGTGGGCCGGGACACAGAGGAGACCAGGATCTCACAGGAGCCTGGAGCAGCCCGACCCGCAGAAGCAGACAGCAGCTGCTGCAGGCCAAGGCCAAGACTGGGAAGACTTAGTCAGATGGCGGGAGGAGGTGTTGTGAGCTGAGTGCAGTGGGGACCTCGCGTGCGGCATGGGGACAACAGTGAACAACACTGCCACAAGGCCGCGAAGGTGCCTACTGGGAGAACCTGCTGAGCACGTGTGAGGCCCTGTGTTCACTCCCAGACAATAACAAAACTGTACCACACCGTGGGCTGCAAACGTACTTAGAGCGCTCAGGTGTTCTCCCACACACACTACCCCAGCCACGCCAGGAGGAGGCCGGCAAGCAGTCACCATTCGAATCCCAGCTCACCACAAACCCTAAATAGACAGCTGCCATTTGTCCATGATACTGCACTAAAGCTCAACGAAATTCGGGAAGCAAAACTCCACTGTAGTCCAAATACCAGGCATTTTAAGCATATTTCAATCTAGATGATCTATATTCCCTAAGATTTCTAAAGTAAATACCCATTTCTTATTTACATGAAGACAAACAAGAGACCAGGAGAAGACGGAGGAAGACAAGCCACAGACGGGGAGAAACAGTTCAAAAGACACAGCTGCCGAGGGACCATTTACCAAAATACATCGCTCTTAAAAGTCGACAAGAGAAACATGACAGACCTGATTCAAGAAGTCAAACGTTCCGAGCAGACCACTCTCTCCAGAGCACGCGGAAGGAGAAAACGAGCGCAGAAAGGCTGGGCCACGCCCCGGGCCCGCGGGAAGCGAAGTGCACTTCCGGCCCAGGGAGACACCGCACAGCGGATGAGCAGCCAAGCTCCGGCGGCGGAGAGCGGGGGACACACGCACCACTGCCCCTGACGAGAGGGCAGCGCC